CGATCGTATTTACAGGAAAGGACCCTTCGACCTGTCCGGCCCTCCACCGCCACTGACCGTCACACTTGCAGGCCACCGCGTCCTGCTCCAGGTTGTTGTTGGCCCTGTGCAGGTGGTGCAGCTGCAGCTGCTGCAGCAGCGTGGCGCCGCCCGCCTCGTCCGCGCCGCGCTTCAGCTCGTGCAGACCGAAGTCCGCCACCTTGACAACCCAGCGCGAGTCCACCAGGCAGTTGGACGACTTGAGGTTGCCGTGGAAGCGCAGCGGCGAGTCGTGCAGAAAGATCATACCCTGCAGCCAAACGCATAGATAAAAGCAATATTTTTCATACAATTGAAAAGAAATGAAATTTAATTTAATTTGAAAAAGTCTTAAAGTTTTGGAAACAATGTGAAATTTTAGGAAGAACAAATGACAGACTCCTAACGAAAATTTTAAGGACTTTTCAGGACAAAATGTGTCAAATTTCACGCAGTCAAGATTTTTTTCATTGCTGGCTCACCCGTAGTATGTCCCCGACTAGGGAGGCGATGAACATATTGTCCAATTTAACGTCCTCATTCTCCAAGATGTCCTGCAATAAAAGTGTTGAAATATAATGGACACAGACGAGCACACGAGTCCCGCCCAGCATATCCGATATCGACCCCGTCACACCTTGAGGCTACCCCGGGTGCAGTACTCGGTCACGATGCACACGTTCGGCGGGTCGACGCAGGCGCCGATGAAAGCGTTCAGGTTATCGTGGCGGAGGTCCCTCATCTGTAACAACCGATACTATCATGACGTCAACGGCCGAAAAGAAAGCCATGATAAGGTCAATGTCTTTGTTTGGTCTCGCGGGTAAGTACCCCGCGTGGGTCGCATGCTCGCCGGTCGTAAAACAAGAGCCGTGCTAAACGCTTTACCGATGAGGTCTCTCCCCCCCCCCCCCAGTACAAGATGATAAGAAAACAAATGAAAGCTCTGACCAGCTTCAGCTCCTTCTTGATGGCGCGGGTGATGTCGATAGACGTCTTGCCCAGCTTCTTGACGGCCAGCACCCTGCCGCGGTACACGCCCACGGTCGTGTAGATGCACGAGTAGCGGAAGTCGGCGTCCGGGTTGGAGCTCAGGGACACCTGGGACGTGCGGTGCGGCGGCTGCGGCACCGGAACACTCGTTACAACTCGCCTTCAGGACTCGTCAAATAGCTTATTCTTAAGTTCAGAAAGGGACCCACCTGGTGGCCGTCGGTCGCGTCCTTGGGCCGCTCGGCCTGGCCGTTGTGCTGGAGGTGCGCCGTGCCGTTGGCAGCGCCGTTGGCGGCCGTGCCGTTGCTGCTGCTGGACTGCTGCTGCTGCTGCTGCTGGTCGGCCATCTTGATCTCCCGGAAGTCCACCTTCCAGAGCAGCGAGTCCAGCTCCTGCTCGTAGCGCCAGTTGCGGTACACCACCAGCCCGGCGATGAGCAGCAGCAGCAGCGCGCTGCCCGCCACCCCGCCCGCGATCTCCGCCGTATGTCCTGGACGGGGAGGGTCATTGTGAATGCGTCGCGGCCCTACAGCGTCCTGCAGCCTGCGGGGAGCATTCGCCCGACCGCCCGACCTCGCACACCGCAAATATCGCACGTCCACATCTGTGGCCGCGTTTTGGGTCCGCGGGAAGCGGCGTGGTGTTTGGGAGGTGCTGGGCGGGGCGGGGCGGGGCAGGAGCAGCTTTGTGCGGCATACCAATGAGTGGACACGACGTCCAGCAGCTGGCGGCCCGCCCGGACCGGACCAGCGGTTGCCTCGACTCTTCTGCCTCCCCCGCCCCCGCGCGCCCACCCACGCCCTCCCAAACTGCTGCCCGACCCGACCCTCTCGCCCACACCTTGCTGCCGTTGACCCTGAACGACAACCCCCGCGTCCCCCACGAGTCGCTGACGCCTGATATGGCCCCTGAGCGATGACCCGACCCTGCTACCGTTTCAGTGAGCCGAGGAAACTAATCAACACTGTGAATCTTGTATGTATGGGTATGTATCGCAAATTTAATGGAAACAAGTGGGGAAATAGGTCTCAAAACGACAGAAGGTTATGGCCGAAGTACGGTAATTTCACACTGAAACTCAAGCCAATGTCCACTTAACTTATTGCGAAATGAGGTTCACATTAAATGAAGATAACGCAAATGATGGCAATAATAAATTGTAGTACTCACGGATACAGCGCTCGCCCCTGAAGCCGCAAGCCGGCTCGGCGACGGGGGGTTGTCCCGACGGCCACCAGAGCTGCTCCGAGAGGCGCACCGTCTGCGAACAACAAGGACAACATGGTCACAAGAGGGGCGGCGAGCGAGGGGGGTGGGGGGTGGAGGTCAGGATTCGCGGTTGGATGGATGTTGTCTACATCCCCAGAGCATTGTTTAGTTTATTGGGAGGGAGCGAGGAGGAGGAGGGAGGGAGGTGGGATCACAAAGAGAGAAAGAGAGAGAGAGAGGGACGCGCCAAAAGCCTCCCCTCCCCTCCCCGGGCGGCTCATAGGCCCCGCAGTCCTCTAACAACCCCCACACTCACTCGCTCGCTCTTTCCCGCCCACCCCCTTCCCAATGACAACTAGTATGACAGCTCCGCCGAGTTTCGGCAGCAGGCTGGATAAAATGTTGTCCCTCCAGCGCCGGGGCCCCGGCCGCCGGGCCGTGGCTCGGTGGGCCTGGCTGGATGTGGCGTCGAGGCGTAGCGAAGCGTAGCGCGTAGTGAGCCCCCGCGCCGCCCCCGCGCCGCCCCGCGCCGCCAGCCAGAGACAAAAAGGGGCATCCAGCACGTCGTCTTATGGATGTGGGAATTTTTTAAAGGAAAAGGATGGGGCGATTGTGCCATTCATTGGATTGGATTCTTCCCCCGCCGCCGTGGCCGGGGGAGGGGAGGGTGGAGGGGCCCGGGGCGGCGGCGCGGCGCGCGAGAGGGGAGCGCGCGGAGCAGGAGCAGGGGGCGCCGTCAACAAAGTCGGCTCGGCGGCCCGGGGTCCGGGCGAGCGAAGGTGGGAGATAAAGGAAGGGATTGAAGAAGGAGAGTGATGAGGTGGCAAGTGGATAGGGGCGGGGCGGGGAGCGGCGGGGTTTAGAGTCTTTCAATGTTGTGTCAAGCCGAGCAGCAGCGGGAGCAGGGTAGTTCGCAGCCTCGGCCCTCGGCTCGGCGACGGACGCATTCCTGCCGGGATGAGGAGGGAGCCGTCGTAAAGACGAGCCTGCAGAGGAGCGACACGACGAGGGGACCTCGCCCCGCCCCGCCCCGGGCCCCCGCGCGCACACTTTGAAGGGGTGTATTAGAGATTGGGGGAGGCGGCGGGGGCGGTGAGCCAGTGGTGAGTGGGGAGGCGAGGGGCTCACCGTGCGGAGGTGACGGCTGTGAAGTATAAGTGAGATTGGAGGCACAAGCCGGGAGGGAGCGGCCGACACGCGCGCGGCACGCACCGCAGAGAAATGAAATGTTTTCAATTCGGAATGAAAATTAGCTGCCACAGCTATAAGATCGTAGTCAGCACAAGTAGTAAATCGAACATTTTTAGTAGATGATACGTAGTATTAGCTTCTACTTATGTCGTGAAGTTAAAATTTGTATCGCTAGAAGTTTGAACATCGTTCGTTAGTTGAAGTTGTTTACGTTTGAAGTAAAAGATGTTTAGCCGTAAGCATTAAAAGTTAAAGTTTTTTAATTTCGATTTTGAAAAAAAATGGAGGGTGGGGGGTGAAGACGAATAATGGCCGTGAAATAAAGCCCAATTCAAATTTAAGGAACGGCAAAAAAAAAAAAAAAACAACAGATGAAAAAGGTACGTGCTTTCTCCGTGCAGGGAGTTCGTCTCTGATAAGGCGGAGAGGAGGGAGGAGGGGAGAGTTAGGAAGAGGGGGAGGGGGAGTGGGTGGAGGCGATGAGTTGATGAGATTCGATCAGACGTGATCGGAATCAGATTGGCCCACTGGCCGGGGCAGCGGCAGGTGTGGAGCAGCGGCGAGGGGCTGGAGACGGAACGCGCGGGTGCGCCGGGCCGGGGGTGGCGGCTCTCATTGGGAATGGTCAACGACCGATGGGACCACCATCTTTACTGCTAACAAGCTGATGCAAAAGGAAAAAATCTGTTTCGACTCAATTGGCTTGACAAAAAGAGACAAGAGGTAGCCGTAGAGCCTGCCAGCAGTCTGTCACACTACCCAAAAAGTAGCGGGGAGACATGCCGAAGCGCCGTTTTTCATCTTCCGCTGCACGACGGGCAGGAACTGCGCCGGTACCCCCCGAGTCCAGTCCTGCGGAACGGCGACCATCGCCCGGAATAGAGATCTAAGGGTGCTGCGGGGCGGGGAGGGGCAGTGGTGTCTACTCGTGTGCGATAAGTCAAAGTGTCTCCGCTGGCCGTGCAGAGGAAGTGGGCGGGAGCCGGGGAAAGGGGAGGGGAAGGGGGGGTGGAGAGCTGCAGGACAACAGCACATGTAAATCATGTCACACCCTTCGTGAGAGCCCCTCGAACCTCACCCCCCTTCCACCACTTTTCCCGCCGTCCGCTCATCCGCCCCCACCCCCCCCTGCTCTCTGAACGTCGTGAGCAGGAGTGCATATTTTTTTTTATCCGAAAAAGAAAACGAAAATATCGGGGACGGATTGAATGAGATAACACGTTTCCTAAACAACACCACGACACTATATATAAAAGTGGGGGACTTGAATATAAAAGGGGTAGTAGCGCCGCCAGTACGAGAGACATAACGTAGATCCACGGTGGAGATCCACCGTGCGTAGATCCCACCCGCTAACATATCCTCTACCTCACGCAGGTTTTAATGGTCTACCCTCACCACCCGGCTCCCACACGACAG